GCTACAGTCACACGCATTTTTCAAAGAAAACCAAAGGATTTATCTCTGTGCTACCGGTCTCTCTGACATAATGGGGGGGGGGGGGGGGGGGTGTCATCGCATGTCTCTATGTATGAAGAATACAGGTGCGACAGTGACACGCCCGCTGAGAGTTCCAGACGAGGGCAAATAATGTCTGCGAGCTCAGCTTCCTCTCATTTTCTTTTCCAAAAGAATGGCGCGTTTGTTCTCTCCTCCCTGGCATTTTTTCGTGACATTTTTGGAGCCAGCTTTAAGCAGCGGGGTCGGACCGGCGCCGAGTGACTTAAACCCTTGCGTTTTGTTTTCTTTGCACCCCACCCCCACCCCCCCACACCCCCTTTTGCAGAGACTGGGCAGCAGCATGCAGTGTGAGGAGGGGACGGAGTGGCTGCTGGAGCTGCTGATGGAGGTGCAGCTGCAGCAGTACCTCCTCCGGATCCGGGACGACCTCAACGTCACGCGGCTGTCGCACTTCGACTACGTCAAGAACGAGGACCTGGAGAAGATCGGCATGGGCCGGCCAGGTGAGGCGGAAAGCGGAGACCCTCTGGAGGCGGAAGCCGGCTCCCCAGCTCTGCTGCTTTTAATGTGACATTTGAGAGAGTTGTTTTTATTTTTTATTTTTTAAAGAAAAAAGGAAACGTAAGAAACATAAAAATCAGAAGAAAAAAAGTTTCCATTCCATTCCAAGTCTCTCATTTACATTTTTTTCCCCAGTCATGCTGTGTTGGAGGGTCCCCTTTGTACCATTTTCTTGTGATTCCTTTTTTGCAGGCTAACATAATTTTCAGTAGAAATCTGTCCTCTTTTACTACAACACTGCTTGACATGCTTCCCAGGAACAGTAGCACACGTCATAGGTATATTATAACCCAGAATCTTAATGACGATCTGTTTTCATTTTTGGACAAATCATAAAAACATGCGAATGCTCTACATTTACAACACAACATTTTCTCCAACATGGCCGACGTGTGTTCATTTCCAATTCTGGCTGTGGTAAAAAGTCTAATCAAGTTCTTCCAATGGTGTAGTCTCCAAACCCGTGATGATGTGGATTTGCCAAATATGTTGCCATTCATCATCTGATATGCTCACTCCCAGTTCTCCTTCCCATTCTAGTGTTACAGAATCAGAATCAGAATCAGAAATACTTTAATAATCCCAGAGGGAAATTATTTCATAAGTGGTTGTATTCCCTTTTTTCTCCATTACATATTCGTACATTGTGGAAATGATTCTATATATTTTTTTATTGTAAGTGATGACTATGGCTCTGTTTAATCCAATTTTTGCCAGGTTTACTTTATTTTTTCACTCTTTTTTAACATTTATATTAGTTTTCTTCACAAGATTACGCAGCTTTCTTATGTTATGGGGTGTCTTTAAGGCAAGAAACTTAATGTTGGAAAGAAATCCGAACCCGACTCAACAAAAGACATGCGAACCTCCATAAACTGAAAGAACACGAATCCACTTTGAGCTTAAAAAACCAGCCCGCAGTTTTATCCAACGTGATCAGTATGTAGCCCGAGCTCCCGCCTAGAAGCCTCCACATCCAGCAGCCTTGTCATCATTTCAACGTCTCAAACGGGTTATTAGGTGCGATAGGAGGAGACGGCGAAACGCCCAGGTCTTTGTCTTCTGCCCCCGCGTGTGACGGGGATCACAGCTGCAGCGTTCTAAATCCCGTTGGCCTTCGGTTACCGAGCCGCTCCACAGTAATTACACCCACTTCTCGCCCACCGTTTTAATCGCTCCACATCAAAGTGGGTGGCGCTCGGAGTTCTCAGTTTGCTTCGGGGGTTTATCGCCAATTAGAGGAGATTGTGTCTAAACCACATTTCTTTTCCCAGCCGCCGGGTTTCGATAAGACTGAACTGTTCTGCCTGTTGAGCCCTTTTTTTGGCCCCTAACCCCGACTTCTTCTCTTTCTTCTCGGTGAAGGGCAGAGACGGCTGTGGGAGGCGGTGAAAAGGAGGAAAGCCATGTGCAAGCGCAAGTCCTGGATGAGCAAGGTGACGACCACTAACTGACTCATCTCTCAGCCCTCACACACACACACACACTGTTGTTGTTGTTGGCACTCCGTCTCCATTGTTGTGCTTTTGAAGGGAATCGGTTTTTAGACTGTTGGCGGGGCACGTGAACTCAGGGCATTGCTTGGGCATAACAGAATCTCCCCGAACTTCTAAGTCACTTTAAGTGGTCGAGCACATTCATTTGTTACCAGTTCAAAACACACACACACACACAGACAAGAAAAAGACTCGGACTGCTGCAGTAATGGATTTTTTTTTCAAGAAAAAGACTGACTTCGACTGCAATCCTGTGCAGAAACACTCAGAGGGAAGAGCTGTGGTAGCAGGAATGTCGAGGAGAAGCCGTCAGAGCCGTGTGTGTGTGTGTGTGTGTGTGTGTGTGTGTGTGTGTAGTCACAGGACGCTGCTCGCCATCTAAAATTACACCTGTCTGTTTCCGCCTTTGGCACAGTCCACAGAGAGGGTAATCTGCTTCCTCAGCCTGCCCCGTGTGTGTGTGTCTGTCTGTGTGTGTATGTGTGTGTCGCTCCACTACAGTCTGAATCTTTTGAATGTCGAGCCTCCTATTTGAAACCGACTGACCACGCGGCGACCACGGGGCAGTGGTGTTTTTAAAAAGGCCTGCTGCCTTATGTCATGTCTGGTCCAGCGTGAATGTGAAACCGCACGCCGCTCGCTACTGTTTATATCCAGCCGGTCAAATATGTCTGGCACAGCGCGTCCATTGACTCTTCCTCACTCATGACACCATGCTCGAGGACCCATTTTCACCAGAATATTTCCATCCCCCGGCGTTCCCGTCGGCTTCGGCTCGTTCCTACTTCCTACAATGTCTAAACCAGACCTAGATGGACTAATCCATGCATTTGTGTCCAGCAGGTTAGCCTGCTGTAAGGGTCTGCTCACCAGGCTCTAAGGGAGCTGTAAGACAGCTGCAGAACATCCAGAACCAGGAAACTCGCAAATCAGTCCAGAGCTCAGGTCTCTGCACTGGCTTCTGGTCAGTCAGACTTTAAAACAGCTCTACGTAAAAAAAACCTGCTCTCCGCAGGGATACATTTCTGACATGTTAGAGCCGTATGAACCAGCTCGGACTCTGAGAACCTCAGGTTCTGGTCTCCTGCTGGTGCCCAAAGTTAGAACCAATTCATTTTCAGTTTAACGCACCTTAAATCTGGAACCGTCTTCCAAAAGAGACAGGCCTCAACTCTGACAATGTTTAAATCCAGGCTGAAAACGGTTCCGTGTAACTGTGCATATGGAAACTGAATGCATTTTATTTGCACCCTTCACTTTTAATCTATTTGATTTATTTTGTTGAGTCATTTTCTTCCTTTGTTTTTGTGCTTTTAAACTCTTTGTAAAGCACTTTGAATTGTGCTACACGAAATGTGCCATACATTTATGCATATTTATGCCTATTTTGGTCAACCATAAAACTCAGGGCCTCTAAACAGACGCAGTGCACAACACTGCGTCGGTTCAGATGTGGGGGAAGGAAATCGCACGCAGGCACAGAAGCATTCAGGTTGCTTAATCTAATTGGGGCCCCTGATGAATACTTCCTCTCAGCCGATTCATTCCGGCAGAGTCGTCAGGACTTAACCCCGAAAGGAAGTTTTTTTTTCCCGTTTTCGTGCACATTTTTTTACCCTCAGGACCGCTTTAGTTTGTGCACAGGGCTGCATTATTTGGAATACTTGTCAGATTCAGGGATATCTGAATTTGCCTAACAGTGACAGCTCCACACTGGTCGGAGGCTCAGCCTCACTCTTTGTGCCATGTTCACACCATCTTTCCCTCTTGGGAAATCTTCTTTCTCTTTGTTGTTTCTTCTTATTCCTTATTTCCATCAGTGGCCTTTGAATTTATTGAGTTTTTCCAGTTTTTTCGCTAATTTTCCCTTTGAACAATCCTTGAAACTCGACGTGCACTTAGGGTCTTAAAGTAAAAAGTGCTGGCCAAAGTAACCTGGCCCATTGTGGTTGGATTGGACGTTCAATTTAATCTTAATTCTTTTTTCTTTTGTTTCATAACATAGCCATTTTAAGCTTTCTTTGTTTGGTGTAAGCGGAAAATGAAGGCTGTTAGCTGAAGAATTGTTCAGTTGAACTGATGGGTGGTTTATTGATGGTGTCTCTCATGTTCTAGACACCATTTATTCCCTTTGCGACAGAATCAAGTTGCAAAGTGTGTCCTGACTCGGACACGCTTTCTCCTTCTGACGGAAGTGGGCAGTCCTGTTCACCCCCCCCCCCTCTCCTGCTTCTTCCCAGGTGTTTAGCGGGAAGCGCCCGGATGGAGGAGAATTCCCTCAGCAGGGCCAGCCCGCCTCCTCCTTCCGGAAGCTGTCTCCCACGCCCCCCCTCTGCCTGGAGGAGGGCGTCCTGGCCACGCAGCCCGGCGGGGGCTGCGTCCTGCTGGACGGCCAGCCGCAGACCCTGACCTGCCTCATCCCGGAGAAGGACCTGGTGCTGTTCGAGAAGCTCGGGGACGGCTCCTTCGGCGTGGTGAAGAGGGGGGAGTGGCTGACGCCCGCAGGGAAGGTGGTGAGGACTCGTTTCCCCTTTGGGTGGAAAAAGAAAACGGGGGGGGGGGGGGGGGTCAGGCTGAATAAAACAGGAGGCTTGCCTGGAGGCAGCCTCTCTCTGGAAAGAGAGGAAGCACTCTGAGTGAACTTTCTTTTTCCCCCGCAGCTGAACGTAGCCGTGAAGTGCCTGAAGACGGACGTGCTCAGCCAGCCCGACGCCCTGGAGGATTTCGTCTGCGAGGTCAACGCCATGCACTCCCTGGACCACCAGAACCTCATCCGCCTCTACGGCGTGGTGCTCACACACCCCATGAAAATGGTAGTGGTAACACAGAGTGTGTCACTGTCCTCCGCTTCCCTATTCGCTTCTTTTCTGAATTATTTCCCCCCCGTTTTAACTTCCATCCATTTAATTTTTCTTTCTCCTCCCCCCCTCACCCGCTTTTTGCCCGCGCTCCGCAGGTGACGGAGTTGGCCCCTCTGGGATCCCTGCTGGAACGCCTGCGCTGTGTCCGCCCTCAGGGCCCGGTGCTGATCCACACGCTCTGCCAGTATGCCGTGCAGGTGGCCTGCGGCATGGCTTATCTGGAGCAGAGGAGGTTTATCCACAGGGACCTGGCAGCCAGGTACAGGACAGAGAGTCTGAACAGTCCTGCCTTTTTAACTGAGAGGGAAATAGACAGGAAAAGGAAAACGTAGAGGCCACTACTAGGGAAACCTGGCCCGTGAGCACCATGAGTCACCCGTTGGCCCGCTGCACTGGGTGGTCTTTGCTGCTAGTTTCCCAAATTTGTCACTTTCACTTAAGTTTTTTATCGGGATTTCGCTTTAAGAGAAAGCTAAATGACTGGCAAAAATCGGTCACTTTCCCATCTTAAGCCGCGTTAAAATGGTAACGAGGAACACGGCTGCCACAACATGCCAGAAATTAGATGGAGGTCTGCTGGTAACTAATTGAGTTCCTTTTATTTTTATTTGTGGATCGAAAACCTTCTTGTTTTGTTTTTCTGTTTTCCAATTGAATTTTTAACAAAAATATATTAAAATTGGTTATTATGATTTACAGTCAGGCTGTTTACTCCAATTGGTCATGCAGCAGTGCGATATCCCAGCATTTATTAAGTCGTCTGGATAGCAGATATTTTATGTCAACAGTGGCCTCAAACATGTATTTAAATGGGCTTGATCTGTGGAGAAGGACACCCTTATGTCTGAAACATAAAACGACCAGTTCAACACCAAAATAAAAACCACCAGGATCTAAATTAATGCCAAAAACCCAATATTGCCCCTATTTGATTTGGCTAATGGCTCACATCTGCTAAAATCCACATGAAAATCTGTCTCCAGTGTTTGGCTGATCCTGCTAACCGGCAGACCAACTGTAATCACATAATCTCCTCTGTGGAAGTAAAAATACATCAGAGAGAGTGACAGAGGGAACATTGGAGAGGCCAAATTGTACAGAGCCAGATCACCCAAAGAGAACAAACGGGTCACTCTGTTCCCATCGGTGGTCCTGAAAAAGGAAACATCCTACAAACAGAGATGGGAAGGGGGGAAAAAAACATAAAGACACAAAAAACACAATTGGCTAATATTCCAAAGCATCTGTTTAATTTAAAAAAAACAACTGGACAGCAGTGTGATGGCGTGGCCATGCAGATATCCCCATGACTTATCACATAAAACAGAGAAGCTGCCGGACCGATTCTGAAGTGTGCAGACATATTCTGCTGAACAGAATGAATTGACAGCAACTAGGGATGTAGAATGCCCCGCAGTGTCTGTGACAACAAAACCCCAAAAAAAAGAAAGGGAGAAAAATCCATTGAAAACTTAACTGCGGACAATTGTCTGACTTTCCTCTCACTTTAGATCAGGGCCAGTTAGTCTTAAGATGGAAAACACAGCCCGACTCTTCGTTTAGCCTTGAAACAGATGACTATAAACCACTGCCCCCCTCCTCCTCCTGCTCAGGAACATCCTGCTGGCCTCGGCTAACAGAGTGAAGATCGGTGACTTTGGTCTGATGAGGGCGCTGCCCAACAACCACGAGCACTACGTCATGCAGGAGCACCGCAAGGTCCCCTTTGCATGGTGGGTGGACACATGTGGGAGAACCATAGCTCTGCCTGGATATGTGAGACTGTTTTATCTTTCTTATTATTCAGAAAACCAGTTTTGCTCTCATTTTCATTTTTGGCCAAACGTTATTAGAGTTGAGCTTAAAAAGGCCTTTTTTATTTTCATTTGGACTCTGCTTGCTTTGTATAGTTTCCCATGTTTTTTGTGTTGTTTTTTTTAGGTGTGCCCCAGAGAGCCTGAAGACGAGGACGTTCTCCCACGCCACCGACACCTGGATGTTTGGAGTCACCCTCTGGGAGATGTTCACACATGGACAGGAGCCTTGGCTGGGGCTAAACGGGAGTCAGGTGGGCACACACACACACACACACACACACACACACGCAGTTGAAGCCCAACTCAGCGGTCTCAAAGCTAAAGCGGACCCATATTCAACGGTCTTTTTCTTTTATTTGTCTCTTTAGATTCTCCACAAGATCGACAAGGAAGGTGAACGCCTCCCCAAGCCGGAGGACTGCCCACAGGACATCTACAACGTCATGATGCAGTGCTGGGCTCAGAAACCAGACGACAGGCCCACGTTTGTGGCCCTCCGGGAGTTCCTGCTCGAGGTGAGGAATCGGCCAGAATATTTAAGATGTTTTATTTTCCATTGTTTTTTTGTTTTTTTTGTTGGGTTGAATAAATAGTCGTGTCCCAGCTGGAGCAAGAACGCGGGTCATAGCAAAAATCTGCTAAAAAAGTGGAGAAGAGCAAGCCCTTCCACCATGAAGCCATCTGATGTTGTAAAAGTCTACAAAATAAATATGTTAGCGGGAAAGTCTGTGAAATTAGTTGTTCGAATGTAAGACATTTGAGCTTTAGCTTGCGGTCTTCCCATTCCTCAGGCTCCAGTGATCATAACAAGACCATAAAAAGAGAACAAATCATTTTCACCAAATGCCAGTTTGCAAATAAATCCCTTTATTTTTTTTATTCCTTTTTGTACAATGAGAACAAACCGATAAGACACGTGACATGCTGCCTCTTTGTGAGTAGAGGTTTTCTTTTTTTAGATCAAAAGAAAACACCTCAGAAATGCCATAATTTGGTAAATGGGTACTAAAAGGGCACACCTAAGTATGATAAAAGAAAAAAAAGAAAAATTCACAAATTGTAACTGTCTTCTAATGTTTTACCTGACTGATGTTAACTGTTGCCATAAATAGACTAAGAGCTCCCCCTAGTGGAGATACTGAATAAGCAGATGGGTTAGAGCTGTGACATAATCACAAAAGGGCTCCTTTTCCAATAGTCAGACTCGTTCAATTAAGTTGCCTATACACTGCCTGCTGCTGATTGGCCAGGTTGTCACCTGGCCAGGCACGTCCTTTTTTAAAATCCTGCTAATTTTAAAAGGATAGCCACAGCAAAGCTAGAACGTAGTCGAAATGCGGACGACCCCCAGACTCAAAAGCAAAAGAGAAGAAAACATGATGAGGTTTACCCGGTTCCACACATAATATTTTACCATCAAAATACTTTGGCCCTCGAAAAAAAAAAAAAAAAAAATTATTTATAGTAATTACTGCTTTAAAATATGCGAAAAATCAGTAATTTCATCAGTTTTTCCCAGCAAAAGTCATTTCTATCTTGTATTGAAGTTACATTTTTCACCCATATTTCAAAATCTTTTGTCGGGTCCATTTTTTGTCTTTTTCAGACTCTGCCCACAGACATGTGTGCCCTGCAGGACTTCGACGAGCTGGACAAGCTTCACATCCAAGTCAACGACGTCATCACCATCATCGAGGGCAGGTGAGCGTCGGGACGCGCCCCCCGGACGGCCGTGTCTGCCTGCCCGCCGTCCGCGCCGTCACAGTCAACCTGCGCTTGTGTTTCAGGGCCGAGAACTACTGGTGGCGAGGCCAGAACAAGCGCACCCTCAAGGTGGGGCAGTTCCCCCGGAACGTGGTGACGTCGGTGGCCGGCCTGTCGGCGCAGGACATCAGCCGGCCTCTGAAGAACAGCTTCATCCACACGGGCCACGGAGACACCAACCCTCACCGCTGCTGGGGCTTCCCCGACAGGATCGACGAGTAAGAACAAAGCTTTTAATCCAAAGCGAGGCATCAGATACATTTAGCACCCCCCCCGCCTGTCCTTATTAGCCAGATTCTGATCCCTTACCACCCCTGGCCAGTAGGTGGCAGCGACGTGCCATTTAAAGCGTCCCCCGGCTGGTTGCTGCATTCCCTCAGCAGTAAATCTGTCCCCCCCCTGTTCCCTGCAGCCTGTACCTCGGGAATCCCATGGACCCCCCAGACGTTCTGGGTTTGGACCTCTCTGCCGCCCGGCCCACGCAACTACCAGGACGAGCTAAAAGTAGGCCACGCCACGCCCCCGTTTTTGTTAAGCTCTCGTTGAACTTTCAGAAATACCTGCCGACGGCAGAAAAAGAGTCGATTCCTTTACAGAATAATTGTAGAGTGAAGAACATTTAAAGATCCCCACGTGAGAGATGCACTGGTAGTCCCCAAACTATTACACCTGACCTCCTCACCTCAGTCTTTTAAGGCTTTGGTGCACCACTACCAAGCAGCTTGCCTTTCTTTAAAGACTAACAAAGCTTCTGTTTGCAATCTGATGTTTGCTTGTCTTTTTTTTCTTTTCTTTTTTGCTGCAATCTTGACATATTTGCTTTGACCTCTCCGCCCCCTCCCCTTCTTTGTCTGTCCACTGTGGTGGTGTCTATTTTTTTTTTTTCTTCTCTTCTCTTTTTGCAGAGGAACCTCCTCCCCGCCCTCCTCAGCCAGCAGTGTTAATCAAGAGTAAGTCTGCTCTCTCTCAGCAGCCTCTCACCCACTGTTCCTGCCCCCTCTGTTCCCTCTTAGCTCCTCTCCTCCAAGGTACATTGCGCATTTAGTCCCCTCTCCTTTGGTTGGCCCTTGCAGTGTTTTTATTGATTTATTTCATGTTTTTGGGTGAGTTCAGTTTAAGTCATTGCTACGCCATCTCCCCACACCCCCCTAACCAGATGTGCTGTGCTCCGTGCGACTAACCCCGCTGACCTCTTGCAGAACGTTGTGCGTCTTCCCTTTTTGCGACCCCCTCGGACCTTTAGAGTATTATCGCCCTCAGAGCTTTTTGAAATGACAGGTATGTCACGTCCCCGATCTCCAGAGCCCTCCTACGATCCGGTGAACAAGGAGGAGGATCCCACATCCGCGGCGCTCAAGAGGCTGTCGCTCAGGAAGACGGGTTCGCTCAAAGGCCTCAAGCTGAAGCCCGCCGCCTGGGTGTCGGCCTCCAAACAGGGGGGCGGCAGGGCCTCGGTGTCGGGCCACCGCCGGGAAGTGTCCCTCATCGACTTTGGGGAGGAGCTCCCCCCGTCCACGCCGTCCCCCTCCCCGGTGTTCGAAGTCCAGGTTCCATCGCTGGCCAAGCTGGCGCTGGAGGCGGAGAACATCCTGGACAGAACGCCGCCGCAAAGCCCCTGCCGGTCGCTGCCCCGCCCCCTCCACCCCACGCCCGTCGTGGACTGGGACGCACGCCCGCTGCCCCCACCCCCCACCTACGACGACGTCGCCCAAGATGAAGATGACATGGAGGTATCGCAACACACGGGGCTCATTTTCCTGTCCTGTCATTCAGTGTCCGTAGCTCCTGACTGGTCGACAGCATCTGGAGTAACAACCCTCCCCTCCATTTTTCTCTTTTTTTTCCCTCAAAGGTGTGTTCCATCAACAGCTCGGAGCAGCAGCTGGAAGAGGAGCAACCGGCTGACGAAGCTCTGGCCACACAGAAGATGGAGGGCGAGGCTTTGGCCCCCAGAGGTCCCGACCGGACGGGCCTGGAGGACAACCTCTTCCTCCCCAGCAGGCAGAGTCAGGGCGTGTCCGCCTCCTTCTCCCAGTCCGCCGAGATCTTCCAGGAGCTCCAGAAAGAGTGCATGAGGAGGCTCAACGTCCCAGCGGGAAGCGCCGCTCCGTCGCGCCTCTCACCCCAAAGCCCGGCACAGGAGGGACAGCAGCAGAGCCCCCCCCCCTCCTCCAGCGAGGACAGGCCTCAGATCCCCCCACGCGTCCCCATCCCGCCTCGCCCCATAAAGAGGGGGGACTACACGTCCGCTCGCTGGTCAAGGGACCTGTCCCTTTCTCCCATGCCAGCCGGCAGCACGGAGGAGGTTTCAGGCCCGGGCCTGGACCGACCCCCCCAGATCCCCCCCAGAGAGCCTCTGTCGCAGCCAGGCTCCAGGACTCCCAGCCCCATGGGGCTGACCGTGGGCTCCCCCCAGCCGAGGCTCTATTCTGCCAGCCCCTCGGCCCAGCTGGCCTCGCTCCCGGCCTGCCCCTCAGCACACACCCACAGCTCCTACCTCTCCACCTCTCCGGGTAAACTCATGCCCACCACGCACAGCTTTGCCTCCGATCCCAAATATGCCGCCCCCATCCAAGCGCAGGGCAAGGAGGCGGCCGCCAAAGGCCCCTGCATCCTGCCCATAGTCCGCGACGGGCGGAAAGTGAGCAACACCCACTATTACCTCCTGCCGGAGAGGCCGCCCTACCTCGACCGCTTTGACCGCTTCTTGAAGGAGGCCGGGAGCCTCCCCGCCGCCGGCGAGGACCGGCCCTCGCGGCAGGCCAACACGGCCACCGTCAGGCCCATGGTGGTCAACAGCCAGGGCGTCCAGGCGCACGGCCAGGGCCACTCGCTGCTCCAGACGGGCGAGCTGAAGGCCAACTTCTCCTCCAACAACAACAGCAGTCTGAGCGGGCCGCGGCCAGGCATGAAGACCTCGCTCAGTCTCCCCCGCGTGTGTTTGGATGGGTTGGTCGCAGCCGACGGAGGAGGGAACTCGCTCGACAGGGTGAAACTGGTAAGCACGGCCATCTTTGGATTGTGTGCTCTCATGTGTTGGTGGATGCTAATTATTGTACTTGTAATGAAATGTGTCCCCAAAGTTACTGGAAATAAGCTTGCGCTTGCGGGTTTTTGACCCTAAGCAGGCAGCAATCTGTTCTTATTTTTTTGTATTGTCAGTATAAAAGCACGTGGCCATCAGCACAGATGAGAGAGCGAGGCTTTGTGCACTGTGATCGGCCACAGAAGGAACATTTTAAATTTGAATTGTGCGACTGTAATTCGGGCTTTTGAGAGCAGCAGCTCCAGCTTGTGGTTTCGGTGCATCAAAAATGCGCTATAGCGTTCTCCTTTAAGTGACGCCACACAAGTAGAGGCTCTTAAATGGCCCAAATCTGTTGCAGTTACACACCCCCCCCCCCCCCCCTTCTGTTCAACTTCTCACCACCATCAGCTCCAAACTATGACTAATGTTCAGGGGCGTCATTTTCAAGCTAGAGGTGAACTATGAGGAAAACCAATAAGCTACCATCCAATCTGAGGTTCTATCAGAAAAGGGAAAAGAAACAAAACAAAACTATCTTCAAATAAACAAATCGATGGTTATCTTTAAGGCGACCGATTGATTCCGGAAGACGGAGCTTGGGAGAGGCAGACTGGGAGGCTCTTGGAAACGCCGAGGGCTCGGCATTGATCAGCGCTTTGTTGTAGATACAGACGTTGTCCTCCTGTCTAAAGGACTGGCGCAAAGGGACGAGGAGATTCTAAACCAACTGTGCTGAAGTTCAGCGGACTACCGACGGCACCGGCTGGAACTTTTAGTTTTCTTATGCGAGGCCGTGCTTAAAAATCCGTGCTGGATTGGTCAGGTGAAGATAAAATAAAGCAGTCGTTAGAAACGTACACTTTACAGCCCACTTGAAATATTCATGTCAAATCAATACAGACGGTTTCATCATAAAGAGAGGCGCCCCTCGTGCGTCGGCTGTAAGTTGCACCGACATCAAAACAGATCTAAGAGGGTTTTGGAAAAAAAACAGAGAGAAAGGGGGGAAAAAAGGAGAACAGGGCTGGGTCTTGACGATGATGATGATGCTCCCCTGCGATGATCCAGGTGCAGGAGGCCGTTCACGGTGTGACGCTGGAGGAGTGCCAAGCCGCCCTCCAGAACCACAACTGGAATGTCCAGAAAGCTGTGCAATATCTAAAGGTGAGAGGCTATTTTTTTCAAATTATTTTCATTTTTTTTAAATTAATGCCACATGAACATTCATTTCCAAACAGAATTTGTTCTGTTTGTTTTTTTACAAATTCTATTTGTGAGTAGTTTTCCTGAGTTGAGGAAAACCCCTGAACAAACTTAATTAGCTTTTTTAGATGATTATATACTGTATATATATATGTTCAGGGCGATTCCCTGATCACTCGGTGTGAACGGGCCAGATGAGACATTTCTGGGCAATAATGCAGCAGCCTTCTTACTTTAAAAACCACTATTTTCCAAACTCGTCCAACAGTAGCAAAGTAGCAGAAAGTGACCAAACCACAAAAACGTGCAAAAGAATGGAGCTCTGGAGCATGTGTTGAGCATCCTAGGTCCGTTTCATGCAGTGATTCAGACCCCAGAGCCGTCTTTTCTAAAAGCTTCACTTCTGGATGGTTTCAGTTTTCCGTCAGTTGTCAGATTTCCTCATTTATAACACAGACAGAGACTGAAAAGGGAGTTGTTTTAAAGCATGGTTTACTGGTCATGGACAAATGTAAAAACTCCTATTCCGGGGGATCAGACAAGCTCAGGTTGAAGCTGTTGAACTCAGAAGGGTTTTTTTTACTTTGTTTACGGACCAAAAATGCAGAATAAGTGACAATAATCACGATTCAGGGTGCTGTTTGTCCTTTACGGGTTTACATCGACTACCAATAGGGAGTATAGTTGATCCTAAAGGAGGAATGGGGATATTGTTTCCTCATTTGTGGCAGTGAAACAGCAAAAAGAGCTTATTTACACCAACGTGTGCCATCAGCCGTCCTCAATCTGATGGAAAATGAGTCTGGGACCGCAGGGGGCACGAGGGAACACTTCGGTGTTCTTTGACAGCAGCAGCAGCAAAAGTACAAGACGTGGGGGGGGAAAAAGACAATCAAATACGCCCTCTGATTCAATCTCAGCTGCAGAACAGAGTCTGAACAAAGCGCTGAGTTCGTATAAAGACCGAAATAATTCAATACTCGCCGATAAAGAAATAAAAAAGTCAGCTGTTCTCGGGCCGGGCTGTGCACCTTCTCTCTTTTGTCTGTTTTCAATGGGTCTCCTGACGCTCGGGGTCCCGTTGCCTGCCCCCCCCCCCCCCTGCAGGTAGAGCAGCTGTTCTGCTTGGGCCTGAGGAGCCGGGCGGAGTGCGCCAAGCTGCTGGAGATGTGCGACTGGAACCTGGAGAAGGCAAGCACCCACATGTTGGACAACTACGGCTCCACAGCACGCCAGAGGTACCCTTTTTTCTGCCGCTTCCTCATCTTTTCTTTTTCAAAACCTGCCATTTTGAATTGGAACCCAACCTCACCGTTCACACGTCCTGTGCTCGCGCGGAAGGAAGAGCATTCCGTCTACTTTTCAAACCTCAGACGATTGTATACGACTCCCGCATCTGACACCAGAGCAGTTTAGTTGCTCCCCTCTTTTTGGGAGAAAAATACCACGTCGGTTTAGCTGCTGGAGCGTCTTCCAGTGTCTCCTGGCTTTGGCTCTGTACACCAGCAGAGCAGGCAGCGGCGTGATGCAACGCGCGTTTGTTTCATTACAGGAGAAAAGATGATGGTTAGGGTAGCAGTTCTATTTTTATTTATTTTTTTAAGGTATTTAAAATGCTCGCTGAGCAGCAAGCGGAGCCCCGGTGCAAATGCTCCACGAGAAGTTTGGTTATTGAATGCACTCCTTCTGGTCTAATGGCCCTGAAGCAGACGGGGTGGCTTCCCGTTTATCTGCGTGTAACTATAAGGAAATAAATAGTCGCGCGTGGTGGGAGAGTCTGGTGTTCAGGGGCGTTTCAACCCTGAAGCCAAAAGTTTTTTTTTTTTTTTTTTAAACAAATATGGTTGGATTGGAGGCAAAGACAGAGGGGTTTGTGGCCCTCGCTGTTCAACGTCTGCAGCAGCCAACACTTCCTGTGAGGCGTTTACTCTCCGCTCACAGTCCTGCAAACTTTTCTGTATCCCAGAACCCCAAATCTTTAAGGCATTACTCAGCTCCTCACCTGTGTGTGTGTGTCTGTGTGTGTGTTTAAGTGTCCGTGTGTGTGTGCGTGCCTCTCAGCAAAGAAGCTCACATTGAACTTCTTTCTACTTTCATGGCCTAAGAAAATTGGAAGCAGACATTACATTCGCGCTCCAAATGACGAGGTTTGAGGGGAAAAGTTCTCAGCTCCGCTCAGTGAATTTAAAATGAGCTTTTTGGAATCCGCGTCTCGCTCACCCGGTCTCAGAAGAATCTCCCGCAACGACGCCATAGAGGTCATCAAAGATAATTCAGGAGGCTTCGGCACCGCGTCTCATTAATTCCTCAGTCTAACATAAAGCTTCTTTATATTTGCAGGCGGTGACGGAAAATCTGGAGCCGCCGAGCTCCGACTGGAACTTCATCCTCAGCGAGACGCCATCAGAGCACGCACCTTCCCCCTCGCCCTCCAATCAGAGTAATTATACCCATAAGCACAAAAAGAGTAAACTTCACTGAACAAAGACTGGAAAGAAGAAGATGAAGAAGGAGGAAAAAAAAAGACTTTGATGTGAAGGTTATGTGATTCTTGCACTTAGAGGGAAGTTCTGGCCCACCGCTCAGGCAGAACCCGGCCACACCCCCGCCCAATCGGGCCGCCAAAAACACGGGGACGGGTGGGCGACGGCGACCAGCACAACAAACACAAGTAGCACTTTTTCGAAAAAAAGAGGTCCACGCCCCGCCAAGAGGTCAAGTTGGAAGAAAGAGAAAAAAAAGAAATAAGAAACAAATCCCCTCCACTTTCCTGAGAGATCAGCAACCTTTTAAAAGGGGGGTATCGGCAGCTCTTATCATCACAATCGTTCCGAAAAGGTTTTTTCTCACCTCCGACACTCAGAGGGGGAGGGGAAGGGGGGTTCTTCCACAGTAACGTTCAAAGAAATAGATACAGATCCCCGACTAGCTTACAGCCCCAAGAGGGGAGCCGGCCACAAAACGAGGAGAAAAAAGGATAAAAATGTTATACTCCAAGGACATAAACAATCATTAATATATAACTTTGATATCTCTTTAACCCAGCCCTCAGAAAAAAAGAGACCCGAGGCCATTGTTATAATTCACGTTTTGTTTTTTGTTTTGTTTTTTGTGCTTTAACTGTCCCCCCTCTCTATCATCTTTGAAAAGAGAGAGGGAAAAAAAAAAGAAAAGAGCCACTCGGTCTGTGGAAAAATTCCTTCTCCCCAGATGCCGTCAGTCCTCGTTCGCTCCCTATAAGCACTTTGTCCTCACCCCACAGCTCTGCGTCAGCCGAAAAACTCCTGCCAGCTCTGTGCCATCGCCCCAAACAGGGTCGGCAGCTAGTAGTGGCAGAGTCCTGGAATTTCCTCCATAATCATCACTTAAAAAAACTGACAACTGAGTTTAAAAAAAATAATAATTTGGTCAGCACCTCTGGAGAGAAGTGGGGTGTTAGTTCTTTTTTAAATCTTTTTATTCCAGAGTTGAAATGACTGATTAAAACCCATATTTTTTGTCGAATAGAGAGGGGGGGGTGACTGTAAATATGGCCCAGCCTCTGAAAAAAATCCTGAGAGAGAAACAGTCCCGACCGGAAGCGGACTCAAAGGAAGTTGGAGGTAAAACTCTCCCTGCCATAGAAATGCAGACATGGCTTCAGTTTCCCACGCCAGGTGTTTACTCCAAATCCCCTACCCGGATTAAGATGAAGTTGTTCCTACGTACTGGTCCTCGAGTCCCATCAGGACCCAAGTCAGTGTGTCGTTGTGGTGTTCTGGTTTTGCGTGTCACAGAAACCTCTTTATCCACCCCACTTTAGCCACACCGCCTCCCCCACCTCGTCCTCCTCCATCTATTTGCCTCCCCCTAAAACTCGTTTTTGTGGTTAAAACCCTCCGGTGAAGCCGGTCGCCACCGCTTCCCTCCGTCTGGTGTAATGAAAGTGAAAAATGTAGTTCATGCTGCCGAATTTCTAAATGTATTTTTTATTAAAGAAGTAATTATTTTTTACATTTTTGGTCCTCTTTGTCTTTGTACCGAACGGCCACGGGACGCCGAGACATTTCATCACAGGCTAAGATCAGGTCACAAACAGGGTGTTCTGAAGTAGCCGGAAGGAAAAGACGGCAGATGAAACGCGTCAGCGAGGGTAATCGGTACCCAGAGATGGGATGGAAATGGCTGAAAATTGCACAATTTGCACATCACACTCGCACAAAAGCCGACGGCTGGCGTCTCCCGGTGAAAGTGGGGTCCTGCACCGTTGAAAAGTGGAGGCTGGGAGTCCACATGCACCATCAGGGTTCTCCAAACTTCTTCTTCTCCTTTATTTTCCCTTTTTTTCCCCTTTGGTCATTGGCTGATTTTCCACTGATTTTCACTCCAGTTCTTGCATCTAAGAAAAAAAAAAAGATCTTAAGGTGAAGGAGCGATCGGTGAAATTCAAATAGATAAAGTCTTGATGCTCGGAACTATAAAGAAATGAGGTGGACGGGGACTTCTGGGGGGGGGTGATGTTGTTTGGACAGAGCAGGGGAGGATTTTGATAGTCTCCTTAGCACTGTTTTGCTTTAAGATCCCCGTTTTTATCGGATGGTAACTGTTTTTATGCCCCCTCGCCCCAAAAAACTTGATGTGCTGCTGAGCAAATCGGACCATTTTACAGGAAATTAACGCATTGATTTTAAACATTGCCTCCAAAATGTCTGTTTTGAGACATGTCATGTCATGTTTGTACATAACTTGACCGGAGAAGCCGGTAAACGACATGGAAGGGATATTTTAGTTGTAATGTGACCCTGAGCCCCCTTGAGTTGCCACAAGGATTAAAGGAGAATTGAAGTCAAATTGATCTGGGAGACAGCAGCTTGATTTTTAGTTGGGAAAGCATGAAAGTTTAAAAATGTAGAGTTCAAATTTCAACTTTGTACAAGCCAAATTAGGGCGCCCCCATGCCTTACCCGAGCTGTTTCCCCTGTTCTGATTCATCCCAACACACACTTCCTATAAACTTTTTTCAGACCTGTTTTCAGACCTGATGTTTTAGAAATGGTCTCCTGGGTTTGGAATGGAGGAAAGCCCACACGGTCCAGTGCGATCTCCACTGGGTTCAGAATCAGAAAACGCTTTTTCTATCGACGTGGCCTGACGTCCTTTTGCCGGCGGGGTGGTTTGATTTTTCTTTGGCCGTTTTTTTGGGGGGGGGGTTTAGACCCTGTGGCTTGCGCCGGTCAGCGGTTTCGCAGTTTAAAGCATTCGAGCAGCGTCTTCTGGTCTGACCCTTCGTAAACGCGTCCATCTTTTATTTACAGCCTATAGGAGAAAACTGTCAGTTTTGAAGACTGCTTATGTTATATTAAGCAAGGATGGGGATTCGGAACTTCTTTTCTATTTTTTTTTGGGCCTTACACGTTTTAAAAAGTGAGAAAAGGAGATGGGAAAGTTGCTCGGGAAGAAATGTCAGTTTGGGAATTTTTAGGATTTAATAAAGGTGGGCCTCTGTCACACTTTCCATTTGGAAGTCAAGCGTATCCATCGTTGCTTTTAATAGGAGAATTTTTTCTGGGTTAGGCATGGTTTCAGAGTGACAAATCGATCCAACCCAACAACCCCGAGTCAACACCCTGAACGGTTTCCGATGAGTTGCAGGCTCATTTGTTTATCGGTGATGCGGCTGGAATCCTAACGACACGGAGGGTGGGGGTTAAAAAAAAAGTCTCTCGGTCGATAAAACATTGAAAACAGATGAAAAGTTCATGAAAATAAGATCGAACCGTCCGGTCAAGTTCAGGCTGGCGGAGAAAAGTTCACTCTCACAAACACAAATCATCTTTGATCTTTTGCCCTTTGTCATCAATCATCAGCCTTTTTCACCCCCCCTCCACACACACACACACACACAAAAAATACACACTCAAACAAACAGGTTGTGCTTTACTCTTGGACACACGTTGCTTCTGCTTACTAATGAGGGACCGGCCGGGCCTCTATTCATCTTTTCTGCACGTTTGTGTGTGTGTGTGTGCGCGTACGGTGTCATTACTCGCTCCCTGGGCAAATTATTAATGTCTGGTCCTCCAGTTGTTTTGGACTCCGGCGCCGCGAGCTCGCCGATCCCCAGGAGAAATTATGGCGAACAGAAGAGTGTAAATAAGGCGGGAAGGAAAGACAAAGCACAAAAAAAAAGCAGGAGAAGCTGCCAAAAAAGTGCCAAGGAGCAGATAAGAGTGTTCTTTATACCATCTGGGGAAAAAATGTATTTATAAATGTGTGTGAGCCTGTCTGGAGTGTGCTTTATACAATAGGGTTAGAAATTTTCTTTGCCTTTTTCCCACTTCTTTCTTTAACTCTAAAATAAGGGTATATATATATATATATATATGTGTGTGTGTGTATATATATATATATTTTTTTTCCCTTTACCTTGCCTGTCAGTTTTTCTTCTTCCCCAGCATCTCCTCTGTTGTTTGGAGTAGGAACTTCGGCTCAGAGCAGAGTGTGAGCTGTGGCGCAGACGCCAGCAGGCCGTGCACGATGGGAAGACCGAAAAGATGGAGCGTTGACAGGATGACGGGGAAAGGAGTGACACATGAGGAGCTGGAGCAGAGAAAAAGTAGAGGAATGGCTGTCGCCTGGTTTGAAAGACAAGCGCGTGCGTGTGTGTGTGTGTGTGTGTGTGTGTGTGTGTGTGGCGGCGGCGGCGTCTGCTTCCGTACGGCTCGCATCTCAATCTTTCCGTCACACATTTCTCTGTTTTATTCACTTATTTATTGTGTCCATAGCGCCTCACATACAACCCCACCTATTGGTCTTAAAGTCTTTGCTTCAATTACGACCTACCAAAACTTTCCATCCATCCATCCATCCATTCTCCTCCGCTTATCCGGGGTCGGGTCGCGGGGGCAGCAGCCGGAGCAGGGAAACCCAGACTTCCCTCTCCCCGGCCACTTCAGCCAGCTCCTCCGGGGGGATCCCGAGGCGTTCCCAGGCCAGCCGGGACACATAGTCCCTCCAGCGGGTCCTGGGTCTTCCTCTGGGCCTTCTCCCGGTGGGACGAGCCCGGAACACCTCCCCAGGGAGGCGACCAGGAGGCATCCTGATCAGATGCCCGAGCCACCTCAACTGGCTCCTCTCCACGTGGAGGAGCAGCGGCTCTACTCTGAGCCCCTCCCGGATGGCCGAGCTTCTCACCCTATCTCTAAGGGAGAGCCCAGCCACCCTGCGGAGGAAACTCATTTCGGCCGCTTGTATCCGCGATCTCGTTCTTTCGGTCACTACCCAAAGCTCGTGACCATAGACGAGGGTGGGAACGTAGATCGACCGATAAATTGAGAGCTTCGCCTTTAGGCTCAGCTCTCTCTTCATCACGACAGACCGGTACAGCGCCCGCATTACTGCAGACGCCGCACCGATCCGCCTATCGATCTCACGCTCCCTACCCCCATTCGCAAACAAGACCCCG